AGAAATTTGATTGATTGAATTTCTTATGCATATGTTTATAGACCAATCAAGATTCTTATGGTTACGCGTCTATGCAAAAGTGTGTGCTCTCCGCTTTATATTTTATATGCATTATATATAGTTATATTTTGCGGTTAATTTTATTTTAATTATCTGAATTAATTGATTATTTGAATTATTTGAATCAAAACACTCATAGAAAAATGTGTACTAATCATTAATCATTGTATAATCTTCATTTATATCATATTAAAAAAGAAAGTTATTACAATTATTTATTATTTATTTAATATCTGTGCGTATAAGAAATATACAAATTTACCAGTAATCTATATACCTTTTATATTTTTGGACATTACACTACAATATATACATATATTAATTGCTAAATAATATATTTCTAGAAAAATTATATTTGAATATTGCAGCTATGTAAAAATGATAAACAAGAAATAATTAACTTATATCAAAATTTTTCACTAATATTAATTTTCGATAGTTTTCTTTGATTGTATTGTTACACTCTTCTTTGACAAATTTACAATAAATTAAATAAAGTATATTTAAAAATGTTGTATTAAACATAACCACATACATCTTTTTTATTAAAAATAAAGATATTTTTTAATATATACTTTTTATCAATAATTTATTGTTCTAACAATCCCATTTTTTGTACTGTCAATCTTAGCAAGTGTGGCTGTATAATAAATACATATCAATTAATTTAATATGTAATAATGTGACGTAAGAACGAAATAACACATGATCTTGTAAAGTTAGCGCGTTTTCTTAAAATTACCTTTAAACGTTATGAATGCGAATTAAACACATGCGCGTCAACGTGAGTGATAAGAACGTGTGTTATAAGTATGTACACGACCATGCATATGATAGCGACAATTATCAATTGCGGCCAAGACATTGGTCATATTAATGTATGAACAAGATTAACGTATATAAAATAGATAAGACTTTAGACGACTTGTCTAACAATAAGCTGCAAATATATATAGATGTAGATGTTGCAAAAATCTAGAAAGACACGTGTAATAAATGCATATTATTTCAATTTCATCAGTTCTTAATTGACCTTTCTTATCAATGACTAGTTACTTGCAAAAATATACGAGGAAATATAAGCGAATTAATTTTTCTATTTGTTAGATCGCAAATACGCGTCGTAATTTTTCTGTGAATTCTAATCACAAAACGGAAAACATTCCGTTTTTCTTAGCACAAATATTTTTTCGAAACAAAGTTTGCGTAGTTACTTGCAAAAATATACGAGGAAATATAAGCGAATTAATTTTTCTATTTGTTAGATCGCAAATACGCGTCGTAATTTTTCTGTGAATTCTAATCACAAAACGGAAAACATTCCGTTTTTCTTAGCACAAATATTTTTTCGAAGCAAAGTTTGCGTAGTTACTTGCAAAAATATACGAGGAAATATAAGCGAATTAATTTTTCTATTTGTTAGATCGCAAATACGCGTCGTAATTTTTCTGTGAATTCTAATCACAAAACGGAAAACATTCCGTTTTTCTTAGCACAAATATTTTTTCGAAGCAAAGTTTGCGTACTTGTTTTTCTCTATCTGGAGCGACATTAATCTTTTCTTTTTATTCTTATAACTAGCTACGATACGTCAATTACAATAGCGTGAAAATTGAATTCAATAGTATCAATATAATTATATAATTATAAATAAAATTTTATAACAAGTTTACGCCTAATTTAACAACGATTATATATAAAATAAATGCGCAAAATTAATCAAATTAACAGTAACCTTTGCGCTTCGTTTTGATTACGATAAAGCAATTTATAACTATGACCCGACTGCTGATTAGAATAACAGCAATTGAGTTTTACATATTGCGTATTGATTTTTAATAACTAAAGAAAATAATGGTAACTTAGAAAAATTTAATCGATAAGTTATTTAAACTCTTTTTGTTCTAAGATTTCAAGTACTATATGTGCTAAGTCAAGAAAATTGTGAAATACCAATTTATTTATTCTTTTTTATAAAAAAAAATATAGATGTAATTAAAATACGCATCCACTATTTTAAACACCGACGCAATTTACTGGCAGACCTTGTTGGTCTGGTCATTGCACTATCTCGAATGTCGGGACATGACTTTGTTTCTTTTTTTTTTATTTAAGCAGCAAATCGCTTCCTTTCAACTCTCTGCGATGAGAAAATGGAAACGACCAGAATGCCTTCGAACTGAATCAGCAGGATTGTTGTCGTTAGTCAATATTGATACCTACGGAAATATAACGAGCGGATGATAGGTAAACCGACTATCCTGATAATGCTAAGTTCTATGCGATGGCCGAGTTCAAGCTTCGTTGATTGTGAACGTTTTGATATGGGGTTAACGGGACGATGAAAGTTGAAATTACGTGAGTGTATTGTACATACAACGGTGCTCATAGCCCGTGACAACGTTAAACAATAATTTGCCAAGAAAGTAGATCTTGATTAGTGATAGGTGTGATTTTTTGAAAGAAAATGAAGATAAATGTAAAAATGGTGTTACTGCATAAAAAGCACGAAAAGAAGGACACAGAAAAGTTAAAAAATATTTATAATTATTTATAATAATTATTATCTTACTATAATTTAAAGAATGTCACGATTTCATCATCTATTTAAACTGCGAATATTAATTCCGAATTCTACAAATTTTTAATTGCTTATATAAAAGCTTTTTATAGAAAACCAATTATATCAAAAAACAAGAGTTTTTTTTTTCTTTTTTTTTAATTTCATTGTTTCAGTTTAATTGTATATTTAAACATTAAAAGTAAGGAATGATTGAATGAGGATGATACTAAGATCTTGTACTTACATGTGATAAAGTTCTTCAAAAAAAGAAAATAAGTTTTCATTAATTCACTACATTAATTTCATGATTCAATTTTATCGTTGAATGTAAGATTTATCGATATATCTATATATATTTCCTAGCAGCTTGTATTCCGTATCCCGTCAATTTGTTTTCGATCTTACAATTAATGCAATAGGTGTGGCGATTTACATAAAAAAACGATAAAAAAAATATATCCGTTCAAGGTACTGGGGAAGAAAGTCGATAACCGCAAAGCGGAAATTCGGCCTATAGTCAAATTATTTATTTGAATATCCTTATTTATTTGAATGACCTTGAGTATCACGCAAGGCCATTGACTACGAAAACCGGTAAAGCCCGTTATAAGACTTCGTATCTTTTACAGACACCCACATTCGTAGTTATGTGGAATTATTTCGAAATCTTATCATTATATATCTCGTCTAATTAAATTTCGTATGACGTATAAAACTTGTCAAATATATATTGCTTATATGAGCGTGAAAAATGCATTCGAGAAACATTGCAAGTTGTAGATCAAATATACGCGAAGATAAATTTATCTGAGAAGTTTTAAAGAAAATTGAGATAATTATATTTATAAATAACATAAAATAAAATTTATTAAAAAATATCACGATAAGATTAAGATATCATTATTAAAAAATTCTTGTGTTCTCTATTATGAAATAAATAAAATGTTCATCAGAGTTTTGTCTTCGTAAACATTTTAGTTTATTAGCTATTATCTGTACGTCATTTTGTTTGATTCAGCACATTCTATTATTATTAATAAGTTTTCTTATCTATTAATGTAAAAGTAGATATGTGAAAAAATAAAAATATCACGAATCACAAAAAATAATCTATATAATTACAAAATAATAGAATGGTTTAATATATAAAAGAAATTACTTCTAGAAGTGGTTTTATAATTTGTATACTAAAATGTTTAAATATACTTGATAAATGAAGAGATTTCTCAAATAATGACTAAACAGGATGCTATGTGAATCGTAATTCTAAAAAATCTTAATTAGTTATAAATAAATTTGACTTTGAAAATTAATTATAATGCAAATGAACTGGGAAAGAATCTCGAACATAAATTGACCTATCGGGAATCCCCCAGCAAACGAGTCGGTGAGTGTTACCGGTTTTCCGTTGTGAGCAATACTACTTAATCGTGTAAAAATCGTGACAAATCTTATTCACTGTACGCGTTCAATGACGCCGCGCGAACTTGTAGGAGCAAGAACTGAACGACAAGGACGTGAACGTTACACGCAAATGTTGCAAGTTTGCGGTCGACTTAGTTTACAGCCGGCGGCAAAACACGCGACGGTATTAAAGGTTTTTCTGGCCAATATGAGCAAAATCAATTTAATCGATTGTACCTCAATTATATTTTTTCTTTTTAAGCAGCCATATTTCTCGGAGCTATTTCTATCTTGTATAGAGTTCTATGTTTACGCGAAAATGTAGGATTTAATATGCACCGTGATGCATAGCGATATGGCATAACAAAGTAATCGATCCTAATTGCATAATAGATGCTAGTGGAAATTCACGATTGCAAATTGCAGATATTGAAGTGCGTGGACCTAGAATTTTCTTTCGTCCTTAACATCATGAAACGATGCTCTCATCAGCAAAGATGATATTGCAAACTGTATGCAACATCAACAGATTTAGAGCAGAAACGCATTACTATTCTATACTGAATAAAGAACAGATATAGGCATGCACATAACATGTAACAAACATCTCATAAACTCATTTTTAATAGCTATTTAATTCTTGTCATAAAATCTCAGTAGAGATAAACACAAAAAAAACTAGTAAAGGAGGTAAAATTCAATTTATCTTTTGATTTTATATATTTGTGTGTTTACTCTATTATATAATGTTATTTCCAAATTATATTTTATAAAAAATATATAAATACCACATAATTTTATATAATTATATGACATAATGACACAGACGCAATTGCGTATATGTTAAATGATGATGTGTTATATTATACTTATATAAAATGATATTTAAATAATAATTATATTATATAAATAATATAATTAAGTAAACAAAATAAATTGAAAAGCATAAATTAGATATTATTTAATCAAACTCTCTTATTTCAATCTTTAATCCAGAAATATCTTTAGTCAAAAAATAATAGTTATATCCCGACAAACACAATTCTATGTCGTATTCTCTTTGAATTATGAATTTTCAAGATTACCGGTCAGCCTTCTCTCATTAGTCTGTATAATAAATAATAACGTGTTCCCCTTACCTCTTCAATTTATGATATTCAATATAACTTTCTAAATGTATATTATTATCCGTTTATAAAAATAATACCCTCTTTAAAACAATTATACGCTCTTAAATATTTGAAACGTCAAGTTAAAACACGCTCGAATATATCAGTACATGGAGCAAGGTCGATTCTGGCGGTCACCTATGAAAAGATATTCTGAGAAGCATTTTGCACCAAAAAGAGTACCTCACCCTGAAGTAAAACCTTTGATTAACTACTAAACGAGCGACCGTGAAGATTCGCCTTCCTCCGGTTGAAAAAACTGGAGAATTCCCTATGTATCACAAGAACAGGTATTGAGGGAGCTCTTGTTGAACTCCCTCACGGTGGGATCGGTACTTTGTGATTCGATTGGCGGGATTGGCCGGTGTTCCACGTGCTTACCGGTGCTCGCCGCGACAATCGGCGACGAGCAACGCAACAGTGGTCCACCAAGGTGGGAGCAGCATATTTTTCAAATCCGTACCGATTCAAGTTCCCGCCACTCTTGCATTGAAGTGTATACTGCACACACCGTGCGAGGAGTGAGGTGACACACAGGTGGTGGAGATAGACAAAAGTCAGACGATCCTAAACAATCGGCGAAGTGTGATCGAGCACCTCGCGCTGATAAGTTTCGGAGAGATGAACATTCCTTCATCGAAATAGTCGCGACATTATCTCAAAAACGTATACGATTATTGGCAATTGTTGTACATTCCTCGAAGATATAATAGCGACTAAGAAAGTCCGGAAGAAAAGAATTTCAACATCAGCAAGGTCATTTGCGAGAAGTGACGAATATTCGGTCGATCAAAAAACCCGAAACGCGCAGAAGAAAGTGAAAGGTCGGTCTTTGTACTGAGATTTAATTCAGAAGTGCGGAGGGGTGTGTCGAAATGACATATAATTGACGGGAGTCTGCCCGTCGAAAATTACATAGCATTAGGAATCGCGCGACGTGCGAGCCGATTAATTCCGCAAGCCGTCATAGAGCTAGAAGCGGATACTTGTCTTGATTGTCAACCGCGACACGTCGCAAATCGCCTATCCTCGTGATTAGCAACAACCCGAAAGACTGAACTGTGCCGAAAATATGAAGGATCTCATGCTAATTTGGAATACTTTTTTGTCTTGTCGAAATTATCCGTCGAATGATGCCAATTTTGATTCCGACAGATCGGGCGAGCAGGATGAGAAAAAATTGCCGCGAGTTTCGAGCAACGTTCGAAGAAAATCCTCGGTGATGGTGAATAGATTTTTTAATACTGCTCTACCAGTGTATTCTGATCCTGATCGCAAAGGAAGATGGCCAAAATGTAAGTAATAGGAAGTTTCGTTTCAGGATCGAGTAACAGAGACTATTTAATTTCGCGATCAGAGACAAATCAAAACGACACATAAATTCGAGGCTCCATACACCATATATATAAACGTGTAAAAGAAAGAAAATAAATGAGACTCGATTTAATGCGAGTGTAACCTCTACAGCACTGTAATTTCCATAAACATAGGACCTGTTTTTAATTGCGGAAATCCGTTTTTGATTCGTGAAAAGACATATTTAGAAAATTTATGATAGATCCGGTTTTTATAGTTGTGCATTATTATTTATTTATTAACGTTTTAATTATTTCAATTTATAATTAAAAATATCATAAAAATATGTAATTATTTAGATAATTTTATTTTGGATATCTTAAAGAAAGACATAAATTTAGAATAACGCAAATAAAAAAAATTTTGTTATCTTGACTAAATCTTTCAACTAAATATTATTTTGTTAATATATTTAAATTAAATATAACATGTTAAATCTAACAAAACGTATATTTGACTTAAATTCTAATATATGTTCAACTAACAAAATAGTAATTTAGTTGAGAGATATAATCAAGTTAACAATTTTTTCAGTGTACCTTAATGCTTCAAAAAAAGAACATGCAATCTTTTGAAAATCCAAACTATTAAATTCAAAATATATATCTGATGAGCCTTTCTTTTATTATATAGATGTGTTCACTACCTTGACACTAATCTTTAGCTAATATGTATGTCCCGAAAGAGAAATCAAATCGTACTAAACTATATTTAATTAATTGTTATTTTATGACTATAAACTTCCACAAATTTATCTAAAAGTCATTATTTAAAATAAGATTCATATAAAAACAAACATTTAAAAAATAGAACGTAATTGCAAAAGAAAAAGATTGTCACATAAAAACTAATTTGCCGTCATTTTTATAATAATACACCATATTTTTCTTTTTTTTTTTTCGATGCAAATGTAAATTTTTCAATTGCATATCGCAAAAAGATTACAGACGATCACTCGGTCTCAAAAAGATCGTGCCATTTTCCATGTAAAAAAATATATAAGTAATCGACCGTGCAATCTGCGATGCGCATATATAATTAAAGACAACTAGTTTTAAGCATGTGATATAGTTCAGGACAACAAACAAAAGCGAGCGCCAAACCGAAAGTACTGCTTCATTTCGATTATATCGCTCCGCTTAGTCGAGCGCGAAATATTGGCTTTCGCTTGATTGCAGCATTGAAAATTTCTCGAAAAAAAATTTTTATACGTCCTATGTAATCGATTAAATTACAAACAAGCACTTATACTATCGGATTATCGGTTAAGTGCGCAATATATATAATTTATATACTATGAACAATGCATAATAACTCTATTTCTTTCGAAAAAAGAATAGAAAATAATTAGATAGATAACTGAATGCTTTCATATTTATCGAGAGAAAGAGAGATACAAGGTACAAAAGGTTTTATATGTATTTCTCGTATTACAAAATTTACGATAGGTATTTTAATTTCAACTTGCTAATAAACATTTAAAAAAGTAATTACAAGTGTCAAGTGCATCTAAAAAAGTTTCTAAAAATAAGTATATAAAAAAGCGTGATCTAGATTTAACACATTTAATAGGTAATGCATTTTCATAGAATGACAGAATGACAAAAAATTAATTGGCAAAAAAAGAAAAAGGACATATAAGAAGCAAGTTTTAATTAACGAGCTATAAACGTGATTAATACTCACTTTCTTGTAACAACTTTACTATCGAGTCGCGCTGATCTTAATTGCATATTCGCTATTGTATATGAATCATTAAGAAATAGAGTTGTCGCGCAACATGCTACATGCTGATATTCGGTTTTTGCTCGTGCAATAGGATGCAACACACATAATCATCTGACAAAATCCATGCCGAGAAATTATGATTATTTCGATAATTACGATTCTCTATGACGACTGTAATTCCTGCAAATTATCGGATAAAAATATTTTTCTCCAATGTTTATTACGCCGTAATATGCATTCTTGTATGCAACTTATATAAAGTATGCAATTTTATACGCGTCCTTTTTATTTCGTAAATCTATTAGTGGCTTCGGAAACTTGCTTAGTAGATTTGCAGTTACGCGCGCATAGAATAAACTAAAATATCTTTCACTGAACATCGTGCAAATAACGTTTGAATGACTGAAAGACAAATCAAAATATTTCTACAACTATTACGATTATAAAAAGAAAAGCTTTTTGGATCATAAAGTAACCACGGAAAGAATAAAAAATCTTTTTACGATCAGTTTTATTTATTTTATATTTTCATGCCGTAATCTCTCGAAAATTGCAACGTCAAGCGACACGTGCTGAAATGTTTGATTCGTGCAAAAACAATCGCCGTTATATAGATCCGAGATACTGTCATGCATTTCGGCACGTTGGCGATCATCTGCTTATGCACTTGTATTTGTAACACAAAATAGTTTATAGCTAACAAATGTGCTTAATTGTATTGATCGTAACAAAGAAATATGGATACGATCCGTTGTTTATAGATTCTGACTTGATGAGCTATTTAATGGCAAGTCACGTTTCGCGTTTGGTTACTCGTCCGGGACACACGCATCGTCAAGAATCTCAAACTCTTTTGAACAATTCTGTGCATAAATAGCTTAAAGAATTGTAAGCTTATTCTTAAAAAATGTCGGCAAAACACAAAATTACAGATATATGCTCTCTTTCAAGATAAATCAAATAAGCAAATAAATGTAATGTTTACAGAAAGACCAGTTTTATTTTTGTAATTATTTTTCTAATTAATCAAAATGTCTCAAAATAAATGACACACACACATAATAATTAGATCTGTATACATCAGATAACTCGAACACGACAAAATATTTTCAATTTTTCATATTAACGTTCTAACTTAAAATTTGTGTGTCAGGCAAATCAAGGTAAAATATTTAATAAAAATACATAAGTCAATAATCAAAAATCAATATAAATATTCTAACATCTATTTGTCAAAATATCTATAAAATAATTTCATTGTTTTGTATTGCTTTCTTTCGCTTTTCAGATATTCTACTGAATATCTCTAAGTGCACCACAACTATTGCGTTACGATTACAACAACTTTATCAGTGATATTCATCAAATTATATCTCTAATTCAAATCGTAATATCATTTAATAATATTTCATTATATAACTTTTGTGAGGCGTGTATGCATTTGTTCAATTGTTAAATCACATACTTTACATTCATTTGATCATATTTGCATATTTGCGGTATATATGTAGTATGTAGCGATATAAAAATAAAACCTGACGATTTATTTCGTGACGAAGGCTATTTAGAGTTCCGGTTTCATCAAACTTGTTTTAATACTCTCTCTGGTCGGACTATTCTACGATAAAACCGTTAACTGTCTTGGTAATAATTTTGCACAGATAGTAGCATTTATATATATATATAAATCAGCATTCAAAATCCATCTGGTTCTAAATTCTCAAGAATTCCCTATCCACGTGTGTGTATATATATTATATAAATATCAATATACCTATACACTCTACAAAAAAATATTTAAAGAAATGGTTACCTAAATAGCACTTATCTAAATAACAAATTTATATCTTTAGAAAATATATACAATATATAGAAATTTATAACCGTCTTGTTAAATACATTCTATGGTTAACATGATTCTCATCGGATTAAATTTTAAATGTAGCTATAAACTACGAACAAATTTATTGCATCGTTTACTCATGGAAATTTTTTCAACATGTTTTTATCGCATAATTACAAGTATTATTTCATTAATTTATCATACTCACGACAAATACAACAATTATTACAATATAATTACAAAGATAGCGCTAACTAACAACGAGAAGATATAGTGTTTAAAAGAGATAAAAATGCTTAGCTAATAAGCGAATTAATCATATTGATTTGAACTCACTTATTGAAAAGAAAACGAGTTAACGAACATGTAAATATTTTACATGCATACTCGTGCATGAAAGTAAAAGCCGGTCAAAAGCATGTTACGCGTGACACATACTCTTTTATTTCCGTTCGAATGAATAAAAGTCGCCGACCGACTTAAAATCTGCGGCTACGTGTAACCGTGTCAAATAAACCGCACCGTAAGCGATACGTAATTTAATGCCCGGCGAGCAATAAAAAGAAAGAAAAAAGAAAATGTATTGAGATAGGTAAAATGGTAGAGAGATGTCGGAATCGCGAGCGACCTCACTATCCTACAAGTACCTCATCATCACCCTAAAATTCGAGTTGTCCAAGTAGCATGAAATACTTCCGCACGAGTACGAATTTATTTCGCATTAGTAATGCACGTTTACTATCGTCTGAATAAGACGTGAATGTTAAGCGGTCTCGGCTATGCGAATAAAATATGTATTGTACGATGTGTGCATTTTAGCGAACGTATTGTTTCGAAATTTGACAAGTGCAGGTGTCACGAAACGATACCTGTCACAGAAATTGTTGTACGAAGAGAAACAAGTAGAATTTTCAATTAATCCAAAAATGTATTTGCTTAAGAAAATGACGATATTCGATTCTTTAAAGTATATGTGCATATTTGTGTGATTGTAATTAAATCTCCAATCATTACACATATAGTGACTTAATGTCCCGTTAAATTTTGAATTACAAATTACATTATCTCATAAAAATTGATATATCTGTTTAAAAAATGTTCTATTAAATTCTCTCATACGAACGTGCGATAAATTGCGTATCTTAATTGTTTAGCCTGTTGGCCTTTGCAAATTCTATATCTCAATAATATGCTGATTTATGGCGTTTCGTCAAAAAACGAAATGCCGTAAATAGGAAAGTCATTCATGCATTAAACATTCGAAGCGCAGATAAACAATTTGCAAAATTAAACTCGCCGAAAATAAAACGCCCCATATATACGCAGCGTGTATCCTTCTGTCGCATTCAAATCATGTGCACGTTGTTC